ATATATATATATATATATATATATATATATATATATATATATATATATATATATATATATATATATGAAAACAAAACAAACTTTTGTAGTTAGATTTGAATTTTGACCACCATCCATAATGGAACTTTAACTTAATTATTCTTGTAGTGGAGGAATATTCCTATGTATATTAGGAATCAAGCAACATAAATATTAATATGCCATCAATTTTTCATTAATTTCTATAATTTGTTTTCATCATTTAAGGTATGTTTTGTTTGTAGAAAAATTGGACCCCATTTGAATATTACGTTTGGTTTAAGGAAAAAAAAATCTGGAATTGAAATCTTACAGATACTTGATTTAGCAATCTCATGAGTTAACTGGTATTTCATAAGATTTGTTTATAATAATATTTTAAAATATGCTAGAAATAGTTGTTTAATTAACAAATTGTAATTTAATTCTTTTATAACTATTGATAATTTGTTTTGAACCAGTTAAAAGACTTTGGATTCTTCTGGATCTAGTGGTGTTATACTGCCTTCGAATGGCTCAGAGTGTTCAGCTTGTAGTTTTGAGTGGTGGTTTTCATTTTTCTGTTTTCAGTTGCTATCCTAGAGCTTTCAGGTTAGTCTTTGTGTTCTTCTCGACTTCTGGTTTTTGTTTTTTGGACTGCAGTATTTTTCTTCTGGTCGTAGTTTCTTAGTTTTTAGGGACCTTCTGTTTCTAGGTTGGTTTGGCCTCATCCCACCTTTGACATAATAAGACTCCTTTGATTGGTACTCTTCTTCGTTTGTTTCTTGTATTATTGATTGTTATTTAAAACAACATGTTTGTTTTCGTATACTGTATGACATAATATCATCAAATCATGATTATTTTGTACTTATGTTATCAATAAGATTCTCGTGACTCATCTGATGAAATCCAAATGACCCCGCAATCCTGATCTACTTCACATCAACAAGTCTAATCTTAGTACATTATTTTTCAAGAAGATCGAACTCAATGTCAGAATTTTAAAACTTAATTGCATTTTATTCCAAATTGTGACCAATTTACGAGAATGCGAGAAGTT